AGTTTAATATTTAAATGTATTAATTTTTTTAATTCTTTATTTTAACATTATAAGAGTACCTTAATATTATTATTTGTTAATTTTTATACGAGTACTTAATATCATTATATTTTTATTATTATTTAAGTGTATTTAATTATATATTTTGTACCAWAAWATTTATTTTATGATTATTTGGTTTTGCCGTTACGATAAAAATCAGTATAMCTACAGTTTTGCCCAAATGAGGTTTGTCATAACTAGGTTTGCCCGGTAAAAAGCCGAAATATGACATWKTGTCCAAGGATTGTGGGCAGTTCGCGTTTTGACCGGGCATTTCTGAGGTTTGCTCGATTTCGACTTTTGCCCGTAACATATACTCTATTGTGTATTATTATAATGATAAATAATACAAAAACATATAGATGTTATATGTTAAATCGTATTCAATCTATAGTAAGTATTACTAATAGTGAAATAAATTCTTTAATAGCAATATGAATGTATAATGAAATTTACTTTGTAATATAGGCTTACAGACCTTTACCAATTCCAATCATTTATTGTATGCATATCATTGAATTAAAATATAACATATTACAATGACCTTCTCAATTATGAAGTTGATGCCTATACTCAACATCTACTTACCCGCTTTTTCTGTATGCACTTAACAAAAAAAAAAAAAAAAAAAACTTTCCCGAGAAAATAGTTTACTTCCTCAGTCTTGCAAAATTATATATATATATATATGTGTAACGATTTATGAATGTTGGAAAAACAAATAATACATAAATTGCATTTTATACTTCTAAACAAAGTAGACAAATTAACTGCCAAAATATACATATCACCACTGCATTACTTTCCTACTTTGTCACGCATTGGACACATAATCCTTTCATCATTTACACGTAAAGGTTAATCAATATTATTATAAACTGAAATAGTTTAATATGATTTTGCCTTGATTATGTATATGCAATGTTTTTACAGAGTTTTCACAAGGTTTTTTAAAAATAAAATTGGCAAATGCTATACTCTAATTAGGTTTGAAATTAAATTTGACCGTCAGTAATCTTACATTTTAGACCAAATATAATGTTAAATTTAAATTCTATCTATGGGTAGCAATTCAATTCAAAGAGTATAAAGTATAGTATGACATTTAAATTTTAAATTTATTAACGAACAATAATTATAGGTATTTACAATTATTGTTAATTCAAGTCCTTTGGCAATCATTTTAAGAGCTTATCAGTGATTTTAAATTCAAATAATAGATAAGTAATAAAAAAATAATGTACTTTTGCTATAAAATCAGGKTTTTTATTTGATTTTATTATTCATATATTATATTTTTATTTATATCGATAAATTATTAAATTTTTTCGATCAATTTCCCAAATTAAAGTATGTCATACACCTAAATAAATAAATACTTATTCATGAATATGGTTCTTTTATGTTCTTACATATTGTTAATCACTACAATATACCAGGTCAATTAGAAATAGAAATATA